TTGGCGCAAGATAGATAGAGAGATAATGCTTTCTCAGTGGTAGACTGTGGGTGGAGACAAAAGCAGGCATGAGTGGAGTAGGCCAGAACAAAGAGGGTAACAGCCTGGACTACCCCCCTACCTCTTATCAGCCTATTGGATTTGGATTGGATTTCAGTCTAGAATCACCCACCTTCTTCAATCTAGTGTCATTAAGTGGGTGGCAGCTGACTAAGCACTAGTATCTATTTGCAAAATTCACCCATCAGAGAGCAAAAAAGAGCAAAGCAGCAGTTCCTCTCACTTCCTGCCTCCAATGGGTTCAACACAAAAACAGGAAGTCTGAGCTGCCTGTGTGTTTCCTAGGCCTTATAACAGAGCATCTCTCTCTCTCTCTCTCTCTCCCTCTCAATGCTTCACACACACAGGCCTATAGTGGGGAAGAGGAAAGCAGGGCACTGATTATTGCATAAGCTCCACAGTGGTGGTCAGTCAGGCCCTGACGACAACAGCAGTCACATTCAGACGCGGGCTGAAAAGAAGGAATTGTAACCATGCAGGACGAACAGAGGCATCTATAGACTATACATTCACCATCTGATAAGACTCAGTGCATGGGGGGGGGGGCATGTATGTGTATGGATCTGCGTTTTAGCATTTAAATGTATATTGATGCAAATACATTCTCCATGTACTCTCTCACACTGCAGTAATTGGTCAATAAATTGGCTTTTGATGTGCGAGTGTGTGTGGGGGAGGTGTAAGGGGGTTACTGATGGCCTGACCGAGGGGGAGACAAAGAACACAAGCACTAAGGTAGAAATCTAGAGGGGGGTTATAGTCTGGGTGGCAGTGGGGAAACTATTTGGTCTGCAGGGGGTTAAAGGGGACTGGGGGAGGGGTAAAGCCCCTCTCTGAGTAGCTTGGGGGGGCATAAGGAGGTGGGGGAGGGTGTTGATGGCACTCAATGGGGCTAAATTCAAAAGATGCAGCAAGTTTCCCAACTTTAACTGAAGCAACCTTACACCACAGATCCAGACAATGGAACATCTGCTGGCTGACAAAGCCGGCAGTTCGCTGTGAGAGCAGCAGCGGCTCTGATTTAAACTGCTACTCTGTAGATGAACCCCCCCAAACAGTGGCGACAGGTTTCAACATGTTATATTAAAAGAATAAAATGTGCTTTTTAAAAAGTTGATTCAATTCAAAAGCAGTTTAGGTACATGCCAAATTCTACATCAAAAGGTGCATTTACTAGAATCCCACTTTTGAGTGTATGGGTTATCTGCGAGTGCAAACATCATATGCTGGTTTCAGAAACTTGGATAGCCCCAGATACCAGTTTTGTGAAACTTAAAAATGCCAGCAAAGGGTCTCCAATAGTAACTGAGATACTGTGACAAATAAACATCTTATACAGATTACTACTCGCTTTCTGTATTATGGAGTATGTCTGTGAAGATTCTCAGTCATCCAGGTCATAGTTATCCAAAGAAGGTTAAAGTCAAGGGAAACTGGACTTGGTTGAAGATACTAGAAGACGTTTCGTCCCTCATCCAAAGGACTTCTTCAGTTCTGACTGACTGGTAGGGAAACTTATTTCTTTAACCTCACTGGGGTCGTTTGCCAGGATCATCGATACCACTGGTTGTTTAGTGTTCCTGGCTGTTGTAATAACAGTTATGGTCGTTAGGACTACCCAAGGCCAAGACTGAACGACCATCGTTGGCATCCTCACCTGAGGCCAATAGATTACATTTGTTGAGTTTCCTGGGAAGTGATGAAAGGACCGTATTGTAAGTTGTGGCGTAGACCACCTCCTCTGCTCTTCTTTGGATATTATGGAGTAGTTAATGTTTGGCCTTTTCGGAAGCAGTGCAGCAAGCTTTAAACACAACACTGACATAGCATCATGTTATTAAGTTAATTTAACAAATATGAAGCAGACATGGAGTAAGTAAGTATTATTCATTTAGGGTTGTGTTTGCGTCCAGCTGAAGAATGTAAGTCCAATATTTCATCTTCTTTCTTTTGCTCTGATTTTGGCCTCCACCAACTCCTGAGGAAGAGGCTCTTCAGCTGCTAAATACTCCAATGTGGTAGCATACAGTGGGTTTATAGAGGTTTCTCTCACTCAAAACAGCTACCTGCTATGTCTGGAAACAATGCTGATGAAAGTGGCGAGAGGGAACCAAAACAATGAGCTGGAAGATGCTAAAACATTCTGTAGAGCTGAGGAAAACTGCAGTTGGGTGATTATCTTCTATGGGTTCATCACTGAAAGCAACCCCTTTCACATTAGACTTAGTCATCTGATCAGTTGTTAATAAAAAAAATTCTTTAGAGCAGCTTTAAGCATAAGGTGGCAGCTGACTAAGCACTAGTATCCATTTGCAAAATTCATGTATAATATGATAAAAATCACAGTAGGGGAGGGGTTCTGGTGAGGGGGTTGCCAAGATGAAGGTAGCATAGCAGTTGTCACTGCTGAGGCCCTTCCGCCCCACCTCTCCTCCTCCTGCTTATCCATTAACCAGCACCATGGTTACATCACCCCAGCTAATGCTCCCTCTTACATCTCCAGTGGCCAAAGACCCTATAGAAGGAGATTACTCAGGTTTGTGTTATGGATGGTGTGGTGTGGGGACCGAGAGGACCCAAATGCAGAGCTCAGAGGAAGGAGGTTTATTGAAGGATGAGGGGGTCGAGGGATGGAGTGGAGGGAGAGGTGGATGCCAGGGAGACACGGGCAACCGAGGAGACTGGGACCAGAGAGGGGGGACACTGGGGCCGAGGAAGAGAGGAGGCAAGGGAGAACAGGGAGGACGCCGTGGGGGAAGCCCGGAGAGGAGAGGACCGGACCGGAGGGTGAGCCCAGCCGACAAAACAGAGGACTAGGGTGAGTGAACCTGGGAGGAAAGCAGACAAAGAGACCGGGTTAGTGACAGCAGCAACAAAGCATAGGGAAACTGAGAGAAATCAAAAACATGAGACTGAACGCAGAGGTGGCACAGGGTATGGAGCAACAACGATCAAGCAAGAATGGTGTGGAGAACCGGGGTTGAAATACAGGCAGGTATGAGGCTGATTACTGGCAGGTGTGGCAGGCTGACGAGGTGGCTGATGAGGTGCAGGTGCAGGGCTCAGGAGCAGAGGGAGAGAGAGCACACACAGGGGAGAAAACACAGGAAAACTAAGGAAAAAGCAGAATAACTGATAAAAAGGAGAAAAAAAAACAGGACTCTCACCGTCAGCCGGGCTGCCACCACAACAGTTTGTTTCTTTAGAATCCAACACACTTTACATGGCTTTTTTTCTAGTCCTCCCATCATAATTGCCTGCTTTATTAACATCATCTCATGTACAGTGTTGGCCATGCATGTATTTGTTTACACATTAACTGTTGGGCTGTCCATGCTCTTCATGATTGTGTCATAAGCCCAGGTCAGAGAGTGTACCACGAGTCACTGACAGCTCACACTGAGTTGTGGTTTGAAGACCTATTGATGGGTTCATAATAATCAGAGCTGTAGTGTGTCTGGGCCCAGATGGCAGCGGTGTTTACACTAACGGGATTAGGATTAGCACCAGATTAGACAGGCAAGTTGAAAGGCCTGCTACTATGACACGACATGGCCGCCTGATCCACGCTGGCCTTCCCAAATTTATGTCAGATACTACTAACCCACAGCAGCAGACAAGAAGGCTGTCGGCGGAGGAGGGCGAGGAAGGTGCTCGGGGTGAGGGACAACAACAACAAAAAACAACAAATGCCTTCAGGCTGCACAACAGGTGGTGCACAGGAACTCCTCACACCTCGTTTGTTTATTTGGTTTTAGGGCGGACCAATTTGTTGGACTGGCTGAGGTTTACAGCAAAACATTGGTTTGACACCAGTCAGCTGGGGCCAGATGTATCCAGAGAGGGAGAGAGAGGAACATAGACAGCATGTTCCAACTGAATCATCACTGTTATGTAACACTGGCCTTAGGATAGGGAGAGTGAGCAACAGAGAGAGAGAGAGAGCGATAGAAACTGAGCTCAGAAGATTGACCTAGATCAGCAAATGGTGGAGATAAGTACCTGAGAGGAGGGCAGGAGCCAGGAGACAGTTCCTTAGGGGCACTGTCAGGGAAGAAGGGGTGCAGAGAGAAAGGTAGGGAAAAAGAAGACCGGAGGATAGACAGAGAGAAACTGAAAAACTAAAGGAATGTGATTTCTTGCATGCCAACATATTGGTTTTACAGT